CCCGGCATGATCCAGAAAGCCCATTCCTGTCTCTCTCCTAATTCTGCCCAGTCGGTGAGTCTCCAAGCAAAGGAAGATGCGAAATATCCCAGTTTCACATACTTGGCAGCAACTGCAGCTTCCTCCCCTAAAGTTGCCAAGCCACCCAAGTCCCTGTCTAAAGGGCTTAGCTTTTGACCACACTTGGGCACAAACACAGCTGGTGGTAGACATATCATCACTTCTGGCCTACAAGCTACAAAGTCTCCCTGCTTTCGTTTCTAGGTGTGGCTTCTCTGATCTCAATCTCTGGGACTGGAGAATCTGACTAGGAATTGCTTTGCTCAAAGAAACTTGTTGCTATACTTTATCAGTTTGGCTTGATCTGGCTTACTGCATCCATGGAGAAACCTATAAGGGGGGTAGAAAACCTATTAATTAGCAATCGATAATGTTTGGGAGAGGGAGAGGCAGTTATTTAAGGGTGTGACCCCTGATAGGTCAGCATTTCTCCAGCTGATGACCCAAGGACACAGGAGCAGCACAAAATGGACTTGATGGTTTTTAATAAAGAAAAGAAAACACAGAGTTGGCTGGGTATGAAAGAGGTCATGGATCTAGATGGAGTTAGTAAGGGAAGATGACTATAATCAAAATAAATTGTATAAAATTCTCAAAGAGTTAATAAAAAAGTAAGATAAATAAAGTTCAAAAACGGACAAAAAGGCACAGATGTGTCCACTCTGCCTCAGGCAACAACCCCTACTACACACAATGCTAACTAAAACAGTGGTGTGTTTCCCGTCCACCAAGCTGGTGATAATACAGATGCAATGGTGAGAGACTGGATTTTAATGAAATATCATTAAATCGAGTTCAAAGGCAGTTTTGACTTAAAAATAAATAATTTTAATAACAATACAGCCAGGGTTTACTTACTGAAGAAACACTGATTTTTTACTGCATATTAGAAAAGATGGTATCGTCAATCAAAAAATAAGTCACTCATATCCAACAGTACAGAAGTAAACAGGTATGTACTACTTCCCAATACTCATACATATTAGTTGGGATAGCCTAACATAGAAGAACCATCTCTAAACATATAGTGACATAGCAAAATAAAATGTTTTGCTTCTGGGAGGCAGAAGAATGAAAAAAGCCCCTCCTCAAAGCATTCCTCCTGTCTCTCCAGTCTCTCTTGCTCCCCAAATTTAGGCCCCTACCCCGGTTCCCCAGCATTTATCACCTGAAAGTCCATCCCAGGCTTTAATATCTATGCTCGGAGATAAATTGCATTTGGGATTTGTGGCTGCATATAAACACAAAGGGAGCTAGAAAATACAGTGATAGGATTTCTTACAGTTTGGACGTATGCAAGTCTAGTGTGTGTTGTCCCAGTCTTTATAAATTCATGCGTGTATCAGCCCTGTTGTATCTGGAAGATGCAGTTTCACTGGAGTCTTCTATCAGCCCTGGCCCTTACAGTCTTTTGGCCTCCTCTTCTTCATAGATCCCTGAGCTTTGAGCGGAGGGGTTTGATAAAGACATTATATTTATGACTGTGTGCTCCAAGCTGCTTCCCTTTCCTAGATATCGTGAAGAGAACAGCAATGAACCTGCACACGTATCTTTGTAGTATAAAGTTTATACTGAGTGTGGATATGTGGCTTGGGCACGCATATACTTGCAGGTATAACTAATGGTAGAGTTTTTTCTTTCCTTTTCTTTTTTGGTTTTGCGCTTTTTTTGTTTGTTTGGTTTGGTTTGGTTTAGTTTGGTTTGGATTAGTTAGGTTTCGTTTGGTTTTATCTTTTGTTGTTGTTTTGGTTATTTTGGTTTTGATCTTTTTAGACAGGGTTTCTCTGAGTAGTCCTGACTGTCCAGGAATTCACTTTGCAGACCAGGCTGGCCTTGAACTCAGATATCCTCCTGCTTCTGCCTCCTGAGTACTGGGATTAAAGGCATGCAACCACCACCATCCAGCTGAGTTTTGCACTGCTTTTTTTTTTCAAAAAATTTTTATCTAGATTCTTGACTAGGGATAGAGCTCAGTTGATAAAGTACTTACTTTGCAAGCACAAAAATCTGAGTTCATTCCCATAACTCACATAAAAAATAAAAAGCTGGGTATGATGGTTCTCTTTTGTAATCCAGTCACTAGAGAGGTGAAAACAAGCTGATTCCTGAGCTCACTACTGAGCTAATTTAGCCTACTTAAGTTTTTGGTCAATGAGAGCCTCTGTCTCAAAAAAGGAAAAAAAAAAAAGGTCGACAATGCCTGAGGAATAACACCTGACATTGCCCTCTGATTTCATACACATGCACACACATTCATACACATACACACACATACACACCCATGCACACACATTCATACACATGCACACACATCCACACACATTCATACACATGCACACACATTCATACACGTGCACATACATGTACATATTAAACTGTGAGATTCCTTTTCCTTCTACAGGACTTCATCTTAGCTAGGTGCAGTGATGTACATTGGTGGTCTAGGAAGGCTGAAGTAAGAGAACTACATTAAACCTAGGACTTTAAAGTCACCCTGGCATCTTACCAAATGTATGTCTCAAGATAAAAAGTAAAAATTCTGCCTCCTTGTTCCCAGGCCCAAGGAGAGGTCCCCAGATTGTTCCCTGGGCAGCAGAGGAGAGGGTGCCTGAACTGGCCTTGGCCCATAACCATACTGATGAATATTTTGCATGTCACCGCAGAACCTTCATCCAACGATGGAAGGAGATAGAGACGGAGACCCACATTGGAGCACCGGACTGAGCCCCCAAGGTCCAAATGAAGAGCAGAAGGAAGGAGAACATGAAAAAGGAAGTCAGGACCGCGAAGGGTGTGTTCACCCACTGATACAAAGGGACCTATCGAATGAGAGCTCACCAAGGCCAGCTGGACTGGGACTGAACGAGCATGTAATCAAACTGGATTCTCTGAATGTGGCTGACATGGGGGCTGACTGAGAAGCCATTGACAATGGCACTGGGTCTTGTTTCATCTGCATGGACTGGCTTTTTGGGATCCTGTTCTGTTTGGATGCTCACCTTCCTGGATCTGAGGGAGGGGGGAGGAACTTGGATTTGCTACAGGGCAGGAAATCCAGACTGCTCTTGGGAAAGGTGAGGGAGGAGGAGAGGGAGTGGGGGGAGTGGGGAGCAGGAGAGTATTGGGAGGAGTGGAGGAAGTGGAAATTCTTTAAATAAATAAATAAATAAGAAAAAAAATTCTGCCTCCTTTTTGCATTTCATTCCCATCTAAGAACAAACTAGTAAGTAAACAAAAGTATAGAATACATGGGCTGGGGAGATGGCTCAGTTGGTAAAACATTTGCTGTGTGAATATGAAGACCTGTGTTTGGATCCTCAGTAGCCATGTAAAATACAAGGCATGGGCATAGAAACCTGTAACCTCAGTGTTAGGGGACTATATATAAAGAAGAATGTTGGAACTTACTGACAAACCAGTCTGGCCAGAAAATGGCAAGCTCCAATTTCAGTAAAAGACCCTATCTCAAGGGAACACAGTGTTGATGGTGAAGACACTTTATGTCCTCTGGCCTCCAATAAATAGACAAGAATATACACACATGCACAAACTAATACTCTATGCCCAGCACAGGTCTACAACACATGAAAACATATGATACATAGATAGATAGATAGATAGATAGATAGATAGATAGATAGATAGATACATACATACATACATACATACATACATACATACATACATACATACA